CGCCCGAAAATATCGCATCGTCCCGGCTAGCAGCCCCTGGGTCTCCGAGGATGGTTTCTATCGAATTTAAGTACGAACGGCTTTTAGAGCGCCTCTTCTAATAGGGTGTTTAATAAACATAAATTCAGTCTACTCCTAACCCTAACGAAACAGCTTGACTAAATCTTAGCCCTGTATGAAACTGGCTTCCAAAACCGTGATGAGGTCTATTCAGATGTAGCGGACAGTGCTAGTTAAAGGCATTCATGTCTGGTATTTACTTTCGGCAAGTGCTCCATGATAATGCTCTAAAGTTCCGTAAATAGCCACATTCGGAAAGTAGTAGATCCAACAAGCTGAAACAAATCTGATATTTGTGTTGGATTGCCCTTATTAGGTCTTATCACAAAGTTTTATATTACTGAAGAGGGACAGATTGTTTTGGACAAAATTTGTCCCTTCTTCTCTCTATCTATTTGAAAGCAAGTTATTTAAAAATCAATCGTCCGACATGTGGTAGCTGTTAAGCTACCAAAAAATGGCAGCAAACGGAAGTTTAATTTCCAACCTCCGAAAGTACGCGATAAGAAGAAGTTGCTAAAATCGGAAAGTAGGTAAAAAGGTGAAGTCTGCATACGAGCCAAGTGGCCCATCTGGCCGGAACTTATCCCGTTTTCTGTAGCATGAAGCGACTAAGAGGTATTTCTACTCCCCCCTGGATGGGATGCTAGTCCATCGCAGGGTTACCCCTAGCAATAAGCTCGCCGGTACCCATTTATACACCTGGGTGAAGAAAGGCACTGTGAGAGTAAAGTGTTTTGTCCAAGAACACGAGGCAATGTCCCCGGCCAGGGTTCGAACCCTGACCGTTCGATCCGGAGACGAAGCGCACTAACCATGAGGCCACCGCGCCTCCGACAAAATCGGAAAATAACGAGGGTTATTACTCAATTTTGCCTGTGCTTAGTTTCATGCAAAATATGGACCATTTGGTTTTAAATGTTAAAAGGCGTCGCAAGAGGAAGAATGAGAGGTTAATTGTATTTTCAGAGGACTTACCATTGTATCCTGGACGTCTCTCTTGTCTTCCTCCTCGGATCACACCAGCAGCCATATGTTACCACAAGCACTAAGGGGGCTGTAACGGAACTAAACATATAGGACTAAACCAGGACGAGTCATCGTTGGACTCTTGACCTGATCTACCAAGTACCGTTGTGCGGACTTGGTAGAATTCAGCAAAACGCCTCCCGCACGGTTCGCGTGATCAAAGACTGAGGCAGTCTTGTAAACCGGATCAGACCAATCAAGGTGGTCGATTGCTGGCCAATGTGGGGACAACAACATGTTAACGTTGAAAGGGAAACAATTTTACCATTCCAGGCTGGGAACTGGTTGGCTGTTCACTTCTAAATCCTCATCGTCAAGAATCATTCCATCGGCGCAAATCTGAAATAAAAGCTCTTTCCGCAAGATTCGGTTAGTTGTTAACATAAATTGAACACATCGGCTGGCTAAAATGAAGTTCTTGATCACATTTTCTCACAGTGCTACAAATGGGTTTGCCATTCTTATTTTGTGACAACCCATAAAGTTATCACTAGAAAAATTGCACACCTTGGATTTTCATAGGGAAATCCGGGTTGTACATTTGAAATATACAACTAAGATTTTTGTCGTTGAAAATCAGAGTTGTACAGTCATTTTGAAAACACACAAGAATCCAAGTTGTTACTTTGAAATAATACAACTTGGATTTTTGCAATAGAAATCTGAGTTGTTCATTTTGAAATCATACATCTGGGATTTTTGTGTAAAAATCTGAGATGTATATTTTAAATCACACAACTAGGATTTTGGTAGTTAGAATCCGAGTTGTTCATTTGAAATTATACAACTTGGATTTTTGCAGTAGAAATCTAAGTTGTACATTTCGAAATCATACGTCTGTGAGTTTTGAGAAAATATCTGAGATGCATATTTTGAATCACACAACTAAGATTTTTGTGCGTAAAAATCCGAGTTGTGCATTTAAAAATAACAAATTAGAAATTTTGAAATAGAAATCTGTGTTTTATATATATTTTGAAATCATCTTTGTAGTAAAAATACAGATTGCATAATTTTAAATTACACAACTATATATAGGATTTTTTGCGATTAATTTTGTTCCGTGAGGGATATGGAAGACTGATAAATTTTGCAGCGAAACCAGTAAAAATTTTGTTCCGCATTTCACAGAGCTGACAATATATCCAAGATAACCTCAGTTTAGACAAAAGTAAAGTTTCACTGGGCCGAAGTGTCCGTTAGGTGCCGGAGCTTATTTTGGTTCGGCCGTATATGTAGCATGGAGCGACAATTTCTCGATTTGTGTCGCGTGACTATCACGTATAGAAATCGAGAGCGACTTATAATCTAGGTGTTTTAGTTTGAATTTACTAGTAGTTCAAAACTTTATCTAAACCCACTTCGCAGACACTTCGAAAACGCAAAGAAGCGGCCGAAAGTTTATTAACAAGCGCACACATGTACAGCCGTAATACTCACTATGTACAACAGAATAAATAGTGAGTAGCTTAGCCAGTCACAGAACGGCTGGTGATAGAACGCTAGTTAGATTTATACTAATTAATCCTCTGTATGGCTAGTCTATCGCAGTTTTACACCCCAGCATCACTGCATTACATTCCCCACAACCCAATTATACACCTGGATAGAGAAAGCAGTGACTCCGGTTAGAGCTCAAACTCCAGGCCACCATTCGATCTGGCGTTCAGTGAGCCAACTTTTGAGCCACAGCGCCTACTCTAAGGCTTAGAGACTGTGTCATTATCTGTAGTTAAGTTTTATGTGATTGTTGGGGCGGTTACTTCCGACATCTACGTATTATTGTACTCTACCTTGCTCGCAAGTCGATCCTTTGAAACCAGGGACACACTCACACTCTGTAGTTCCATTGTTATTCACTATGCACATGCCATTGTTAAGACAAACCAGAGAACTACAAGGATCTGTGATCAAGACAAAGGAATTAACTGGTGCAAATTTTAACCGCACCTGTGTGACTTGTTTTACATACCGTGAATTTTTATATATTTTCTTTTTAGAACCACATTTATGTCACAATGGCTTCCCGCTAGCTACCACGTGACTCGAGCTTAAAATTAATCTGAAACTTAAGATACACACAATAAATAAATTTAACTAAACTTCATGCGGATTGCTATGTTTTAAAGGTGAATCTTACAGGCGTTACGAATAGTAATGCTTAATAAATGCTATTAAACTGGACTTCGAGCTTACAGTAAGGTAGCCGTTGTTTTAGATTGCTAGTAATGTTATGCCGTTGTTTCATATTTCCTACTGAAGATATCTAATCACTTGGAAATGCAAATTCTATAGGATAACATTCCGAGCGATTACGTACCAGAAACAACTGCAGAAGACAGAAGTACTGATTCCGATGGGGTTGAATGAATAGGGACTGATGATTCTATCAAAGAAAAATAAAAATTATGTTGGATCAGTTGTAGCTCGCAAACAGATGATGATGAGCGAAGCTGAAAATTGAGACATGCTCATAAATAACGACCTAAAAAACAAACCTATGACACTGCTGCTTAAACTGTCAGAAACATTACCACTGCTGCTTAAAATTGGAGAGACGCTGACACGGCTTGAAATTGAACTTGTAGACACCCTGACACGGCTGCTTGGACTGTCCAACGCACTCACACTGCTGCTTGAACTTGCCGACACACTGGCACTGCTACTTGAACTGCCTGACAGACTGGCACTGCTGCTAGAACTTAACGATACAGTAACACTTCTGCTTAAATTCTGCAACACACTGGTACTGCTGCTTAAACTTTCGGACTGAGAAACACTAAGGCTGCTGCTGGAACTGTCGGACACACTGGCAACGCTGCTGAAGCTTGACGACAGAGTAATACTGCTGCTTGAACTTACAGAATCTGAAATACTAGCGCTGGTGCTGGAACTGTCCGACACAATGGCACTGCTGCTGGAACTTACGGACTCTGAAACACTAGCGCGGCTGCTGAAACTATCAGACACGCTGGCACTGCTGCTGGAGCTTGGCGACACAGTGCTACTGCTGCTTGAACTTAGGGACTCTGAAACACTAGTGCTGCTGCTGGAACTGTCAGACACACTGGCAATGCTGCTGGAACTGTCAGAAACACTGAGACTGCTGCTCGAACTGTCTGACACGCTGGCACTGCTGCTAAAACTTGGCGCCACAGTAATACTTCGGCGTAAACTCTGCGAGACACTGGTAATGCTGCCTAAACTTATGAACTGCGAAACACTAGGGCTGCTGCTAGAAATCTCGGACACAGTGGCACTGCCGCTGGTGCTTGACAAAACAGTGGTACTGCTGCTTGAACGTACGGACTCCGAAATAATAGCGCTCCTCCTGGAACTCTGAGACACACTGGCAATGATGCTGGAACTGTTAGACACACTGAAACTGCTTCTTAAACTGTCTGACACACTGGCATTGCTGCTAAAACTTGGCGACACAGTAACACTTCTCCGTGTACTCTGCGACACACTAGTACTGCTACTTAAACTTAATAACTGTGAAACACTAGGGCCGTTGCTGGAACCGTCGGACACACTGGCACTGCTGCTGGAGCTTAACGACACAGTGGTACTGCTGCTCAAATTTACGGAATCAGAAATACTAGCGCTGCTGCTGGCACTGTGAGACACGCTGGCAATGCTGCTGGAGCTGTGAGAAACACTGAGTCTGCTGCTTGAACTGTCTGAAACACTGGCAATACTGCTAGAACTTGGCGTCACAGTAACACTACTCCGTGAACTCTGCAACACGCTAGTACTGCTGCTTAAACTTACGAACTGTGAAACACTAAGGCCGCTGCTGGAACTGTCGGACACACTGGCACTGCTGCTGGAGCTTGACGACACAGTGGCACTGCTGCTAGAACTTACGAATTCTGAAACACTAGGGCTGCTGCTGGAACTGTCAGACACACTGGCAATCCTGCTGGAACTTGGCGACACAGTGGCACTGCTGCTTGAACTTACGGACTCTAAAATACTAATGCTCCTCCTGGAACTGTCCGAAACACTAGCACTGCTCCTGGAGCTTAACGACACAGTGGAACTGCTGCTTGAACTTACGAAATCTGAAATAAAAGCGCTGCCGGTAGAACTGTCTGACACACTGGCAATGCTTCTGGAACTGTCAGAGACACTGAGACTGCTGATTGAAGTGTCTGACACACTGGCACTGCTGATAAAACTTGGAGACACCGTAAAACTTCTGCGTGAACTCTGCGACACACTAGTAATGCTTCTTAAACTTAATAACTGTGAAACACTAGGGCCGCTGCTGGAACTGTCGGACACACTGGCACTGCTGCTGGAGCTTGACGACACAGAGGCACGGCTGCTTGAACTTACGGAATCTGAAATAGTAGTGCTGCTGCTTGAACTGTCCAAAACACTGGCACTGCTCCTGGAGCTTGACGACACAGTGGAACTGCTGCTTGAACTTACAAAATCTAAAGTACTAGCGCTGCTGCTAGAAGTGTCACACACACTGGCACTGCCGATGGAACTTACGGACTCTGAAACACTAGCACTGCTGCTGGAACTGTCAGACACACTGGCAATGCTGCTGGAACTGTCAGAAACACTGAGACTGCTGCTTGAACCGTCTGACACACTGCCACTGCTGCTAGAACTTGGCGATACACTAACACTTCTGCGTGAACTCTCTGACACACTAGTACTGCTGCTTAAACTTAATAACTGTGTAACACTAGGGCTGCTGCTGGAACTGTCGGACACACTTGCACTGCTACTAAAGCTTGACGACACAGTGGCACTGCTGCTTGAACTTACGAAATCTGAAATACTAGTGCTGCTGCTGGACCTGTCAGACACAGTGGTACTGCTGCTAAAAGTTACGAATTCTGAAACACTACGGCTGCTGCTGGAACTGTCAGACACATTGGCACTCCTGCTGAAACTTGGCGACACAATGGCACTGCCGCTTGAACTTACGGAATCTGAAATACTAGCGCTGCTGCTGGAACTGTCAGACAGACTGGCACTCCTGCTGGAACTTGTTGACACAGTGGCACTGCTAATTAAACTTAGGAACTCTGAAACACTAGTACTGCTGCTGGAACTGTCAGACACACTGGCCATGCTGCTGGAACTCTCAGAAACACTGAGTCTCCTGCTTGAACTATCTGACACACTGGCACTGCTGCTAGAACTTGGCGACACAGTAACACTTCTGCTTGAAATCTGCGACAAACTAGTACTGGTGCTAAAACTTAATAACTGTGAAACACTAGTGCCGATGCTGGAACTGTCGGACACACTGGCACTCCTGCTGAAACTTGGCGACACAGTGGCACTCCTGCTTGAACTTACGGAGTCTGAAATACTAGTGCTGCTGCTGGACCTGTCAGAGACAGTGGTACTGCTGCTAGAACTTACGAATTCTAAAACACTAGGGCTGCTGCTGGAACTGTCAGACACATTGGCACTCCTGCCGAAACTTGCCGACACAATGGCACTTCTGCTTGAACTTACGGAATCTGAAATGCTAGCGCTGCTGCTGGAACTGTCAGACAGACTGGCACACCTGCTGGAACTTGTTGACACAGTGGCACTGCTGCTTAAACTTAGGGACTCTGAAACACTAGTAGTTCTGCTGGAACTGTCAGACACACTGGCAATGCTGCTGGAACTCTCAGAGACACTGAGACTGCTGCTTGAACTGTCTGACACACTGGCACTGCTGCTAGAACTTGGTAAATCAGTGACACTTGAAATCTGCGACAAACTAGTACTGGTGCTAAAACTTAATAACTGTGAAACACTAGTACCGCTGCTGGAACTGTCAGACACACTGGCACTCCTGCTGGAACTTAGCGACACAGTGGCACTGCTGCTTGAACTTACGGACTCTAAAATACTAATGCTACTGCTGGAACTGACCGAAACACTGGCACTGCTCCTGGAGCTTGACGACACAATGGAACCGCTGCTTGAACTTACGGGATCTGAAATACTAGGGCTGCTGTTGAAACTGTCAGACACACTGGCACTGCTGCTGGAACTTACAGACTCTGAAATACCAGCGCTGCTACTGGAACTGTCAGACACACTGGCAATGATGCTGGAACTGTCAGAGAAACTGAGACTGCTGCTTAAGGTGTCTGACACACTGGCACTGCTGCGAGAACTTGGCGACACAGTAACACTTCTGCGTGCTCTCTGCGACACACTACTAGTGCTGCTTAAACTTAATAACAGTGAAACACTAGGGCCGCTGCTGGAACTGTCGGAGACACTGGCACTGCTGCTGGAGCTTGACGACACAGTGGTACTGCTGCTAAAACTTACAAAATCTGAAATGCTAGTGCTGCTGCTGGGACTGTCCAAAACACTCGCACTGCTCCTGGAGCTTGAAGACACAATGGCACTGCTGCTAGAACTTACGGAATCGGAAATACTAGCGCTGCTGCTGGAACTGTCAGACACACTGGCAATGCTGCTGGATCTGTCAGAGACACTTGGACTGCTGCTCGAACTGTCTGACACGCTGGCGCTGCTGGTAGAACTTGGCGAAACAGTAACAATGCTGCGTGAACTCTGCGACACAGTAGTACTTCTGCTTAAACTTAATAACTGTGAAACACTAGTGCCGCTGCTGGAACTGTCGGACACACTGGCACTGCTGCTGGAGCTTGACGACAGAGTGGTACTGCTGATAGAATGTAGGAATTCTGAAACACTAGGGCTGCTCTTGAAACTGTCTGACATACTGGCATTCCTGGTGGAGCTTGGCGACACAGTGGCACTTCTGCTTAAACTTACGAATTCTGAAACACTAGCGCTGCTGCTGGAACTGTCAGACACACTGGCACTTCTCGTGGAACGTGGCGACGCATTGGCACTGTTGTTTGAATTTAGAGACCCTGAAACACTAGTGCTGCTGCTGGAACTGTCAGACACACTGGCACTGCTGCTGGAACTTACGGACTCTGAAACACTAGAGCTGCTGCTGGAACTGTCAGACACACTGGCAATGCTGCTGGAACTGTCAGAGACAGTGAGACTGCTGCTCGAACTGTCTGACACACTGGCACTGCTGCTAAAACTTGGCGACACAGTAAAACGTCTGCGTGAACTCTGCGACACACTAGTACTGCTGCTTAAACTTGATAACTGTGAAACACTAGGGCCGCTGCTGGAACTGTCGGAGACACTGGCACTGCTACTGGAGCTTGAAGACACAGTGGTACTGCTGCTTGAACTTACGGAATTTGAAATACTAGTGCTGCTGCTGGACCTGTCAGACACAATGGTACTGCTGCTAGAACTGACGAATTCTGAAACACTAGGGCTGCTGCTTGAACTGTGAGACACACTGGTACTCCTGCGGAAAGTTGGCGACACAGTGGCACTGCTGCTTGAACTTAGGGTCTCTGAAAAACTAGTCCTGCTGCTGGAACTGTCGGGCACAGTGGCACTGCTGCTGGAACTTACTGACTCTGAAACACTAGCGCTGCTGCTGGAACTGTCAGACACACTGGCAATGCTGCTGGAACTTTCAGAGACACTGAGACTGCTGCTTGAAGTGTCTGACACACTGGCACTAGTGCTGCTAGAACTTGGCGACACAGTAACATTTCTGCGTGAACTCTGCGACACACTAGTACTGCTGCTTAAACCTAATAACTGTGACACACTAGGGCCGCTGCTGGAACTGTCGGACACACTGGCACTGCTGCTGAAGCTTGACGACACAATGGTACTGCTGCTTGAAATTATGGAATCTGAAATACTAGCGATGGTGCTGGAACTGTCAGACACACTGGCACTTCTCGTGGAACTTGGCGACGCATTGGCACTGTTGTTTGAACTTAGAGACCCTGAAACACTAGTGCTGCTGCTGGAACTGTCAGAAACACTGGCACTGCTGCTGGAACTTACGGACTCTGAAACACTAGCGCTGCTGCTGGAACTGTCAGACACACTGGCAATGCTGCTGGAACTGTCAGAGACAGTGAGACTGCTGCTCGAACTGTCTGACACACTGGCACTGCTGCTAAAACTTGGCGACACAGTAAAACGTCTGCGTGAACTCTGCGACACACTAGTACTGCTGCTTAAACTTGATAACTGTGAAACACTAGGGCCGCTGCTGGAACTGTCGGAGACACTGGCACTGCTACTGGAGCTTGAAGACACAGTGGTACTGCTGCTTGAACTTACGGAATTTGAAATACTAGTGCTGCTGCTGGACCTGTCAGACACAATGGTACTGCTGCTAGAACTGACGAATTCTGAAACACTAGGGCTGCTGCTTGAACTGTGAGACACACTGGTACTCCTGCGGAAAGTTGGCGACACAGTGGCACTGCTGCTTGAACTTAGGGTCTCTGAAAAACTAGTCCTGCTGCTGGAACTGTCGGGCACAGTGGCACTGCTGCTGGAACTTACTGACTCTGAAACACTAGCGCTGCTGCTGGAACTGTCAGACACACTGGCAATGCTGCTGGAACTTTCAGAGACACTGAGACTGCTGCTTGAAGTGTCTGACACACTGGCACTAGTGCTGCTAGAACTTGGCGACACAGTAACATTTCTGCGTGAACTCTGCGACACACTAGTACTGCTGCTTAAACCTAATAACTGTGACACACTAGGGCCGCTGCTGGAACTGTCGGACACACTGGCACTGCTGCTGAAGCTTGACGACACAATGGTACTGCTGCTTGAAATTATGGAATCTGAAATACTAGCGATGGTGCTGGAACTGTCAGACACACTGGCACTTCTCGTGGAACTTGGCGACGCATTGGCACTGTTGTTTGAACTTAGAGACCCTGAAACACTAGTGCTGCTGCTGGAACTGTCAGAAACACTGGCACTGCTGCTGGAACTTACGGACTCTGAAACACTAGCGCTGCTGCTGGAACTGTCAGACACACTGGCAATGCTGCTGGAACTGTCAGAGACAGTGAGACTGCTGCTCGAACTGTCTGACACACTGGCACTGCTGCTAAAACTTGGCGACACAGTAAAACGTCTGCGTGAACTCTGCGACACACTAGTACTGCTGCTTAAACTTGATAACTGTGAAACACTAGGGCCGCTGCTGGAACTGTCGGAGACACTGGCACTGCTACTGGAGCTTGAAGACACAGTGGTACTGCTGCTTGAACTTACGGAATTTGAAATACTAGTGCTGCTGCTGGACCTGTCAGACACAATGGTACTGCTGCTAGAACTGACGAATTCTGAAACACTAGGGCTGCTGCTTGAACTGTGAGACACACTGGTACTCCTGCGGAAAGTTGGCGACACAGTGGCACTGCTGCTTGAACTTAGGGTCTCTGAAAAACTAGTCCTGCTGCTGGAACTGTCGGGCACAGTGGCACTGCTGCTGGAACTTACTGACTCTGAAACACTAGCGCTGCTGCTGGAACTGTCAGACACACTGGCAATGCTGCTGGAACTTTCAGAGACACTGAGACTGCTGCTTGAAGTGTCTGACACACTGGCACTAGTGCTGCTAGAACTTGGCGACACAGTAACATTTCTGCGTGAACTCTGCGACACACTAGTACTGCTGCTTAAACCTAATAACTGTGACACACTAGGGCCGCTGCTGGAACTGTCGGACACACTGGCACTGCTGCTGAAGCTTGACGACACAATGGTACTGCTGCTTGAAATTATGGAATCTGAAATACTAGCGATGGTGCTGGAACTGTCAGACACACTGGCACTTCTCGTGGAACTTGGCGACGCATTGGCACTGTTGTTTGAACTTAGAGACCCTGAAACACTAGTGCTGCTGCTGGAACTGTCAGAAACACTGGCACTGCTGCTGGAACTTACGGACTCTGAAACACTAGCGCTGCTGCTGGAACTGTCAGACACACTGGCAATGCTGCTGGAACTGTCAGAGACAGTGAGACTGCTGCTTGAACTGTCTGACACACTGGCACTGCTGCTAGAACTTGGCGACACAGTAACAATTCTGCGTGAACTCCGCGACACACTAGTACTGCTGCTTAAACTTAATAACTGTGACATACTAGGGCCGCTGCTGGAATTTTCGGACTCACTGGCACTGCTGCTGGAACTGTCAAACACAATGGCAATGCTGCTAGAACTGTTAGAGACATTGAGTCTGCTGCTTGAACTCTCTGAGACACTGGCACTGCTGCTAGAACTTGGCGTCACATTTACACTAGTGCGTGAACTCTGCGACACACTGGTACTGCTGCTTAAACTTACGAACTGTGAAACACTATGGCTGCGACTGGAACTGTCGGGTGCACTGGCACTGCTGCTGGAGCTTGACGACACAGTGGTACTGCTGCTTGAACTTATGGAATCTGAAATACGAGCGCTGATGCTGGAACTTTCAGACACAGTGGCACTGCTGCTGGAGCTTACGAATTCTGAAACACTAGGGCTGCTGCTGGAACTGTCAGACACACTGGCACTGCTGCTGGAACTTGACGACACAGTGCTGGTGCTACTTGAACTTACGGAATCTGAAATACTAGCGCTGCTGCTAGAACTGTCAGACACAGTGGCACTGCTGCTGGAACTTACGGACTCTGAAACACTAGCGCTGCTGCTGGAACTGTCAGACAGACTGGCAATGCTGCTGGAACTGTCAGACACACTGAGACTGCTGCTTGAGCTGTCTGACACACTGGCACTGCTGCTAGAATTTGGCGACACAGTAACACTTCTGCGTGAGCTCTGCGACACACTAGTACTGGTGCTAAAACTTAATAACTGTGAAACACTAGCGCCGCTGCTGGAACTTTCGGACACACTGGCACTGCTGCTGGAGCTTGACGACACAGTGGTACTGCTGCTTGAACTTACGGAATCGGAAATACTAGCGCTGCTGCTGGAACTGTCAGACACACTGGCAATGCTGTTGGAACTGTCAGAGACACTGAGACTGCTGCTTGAAGTGTCTGACACACTGGCAATGCTGCTGGAACTGTCAGTCAGACTGGCACTTCTGTTGGAGCTAAGCGACATAGTGGCACTGCTGCTTGAACTATCCGACACGGTGTCACTGCTTCGTGAACTGTTTGACACACTGACACTGCTGCTTGATCTTTGAGACACACTTGCACGTCTGCTTGAACTGCCAGACATGCTAGCACTGCTGCTTAAACTTGGAGACACACTGAAACTGCTGCTTGATTTTGAAGCTAGTCCGGCAATGGTTTTTTGGTTTGGAGTGACACTGACATGGCTGCTTGAGGTTGTTTGACCTGGAAAAGTGCAATACTTTATAAGGAGAATGCTAAACATGTATTTTTGTGACAACTATTTTGCTACCTGTAGGTGGCGCTCAAAATGCCTGGCAGTCCACAGATTTCCCTGAGATCTTCCTTGACATCGACATTGTTGCACTGAAATATTCCCTTTATTTCATACCAGTAATAAAGTGACTGAAATATGGCTATCGGCTTGATATAGGTTTACGGCAGGCCCCGGGAGTGGAAGAGCCTTATGACTTAGAAGACCTGTCTCAGAGGTCTTTTCAATGCTCGTGTTACTCTCTACATTAAGACAAAACAAGATGCTTATTTCTCTCAGCGATAGGGAAGAAAATTAAATTAAACCTTGTTTGTATAAGGTAACCACAAGATTTCGAGTGCAATTTGGAATAAATAAGCACGAGTACATTTCTAAAAGACTAACAAAATTGCACTCTTTTTTAGTCAAACAGAATCGAGTAAATTTTTCAAATATATTATTAGCAGATTAATTGTCTTATTTGTAATCGATTTGTTGTCGTTTCGTTTGAATAGAGTCTATCTTTTTGTCGAGGGTCGAGGGTCGAGGGTCGAGGGTTTTTTTTTCAAATTTCACAAATCGTAGGAGTTGTTAAACCCATTTTACGTGACCATTCAGTACATTGACGTGTATTTGCTTTCACAGCATTAAAGCTAATTTGGTAAAATGTTGGCGTGACTTTCTTTCACAAGACCAGTCGAACTTGCCGTATAGCGTATATACTTGCTATAACAAAACGAAGAGCCCGGTGGAGGAAACGTTTAAAAAAAGGTCTTACCGTCGCTTGCATTTTTTGTCGCGTGACAAAAACATGTTCTGCCGGCTAATCAAAATTCAAAGTTTTGACAATCAAACTTTACAGTTTATCCGCCCACTTGGGACCGTTGTGGCGCTACTCCGCAAACACCTGAAGGGAAGCAAAGTCAGCAACGCGTACGGGCATTTGGTCTTTTGCAGTTTTGAAAATCAGAATGAATGATAGCAAATCAATAGAGGAATTTCTGTCGGATATTGACTGTGATCTTTTACAATATGCAGGGGAATTAAGGAAGAAAGGGTTCACCTCAACATTGTCTGCGCGATATCTGGCTGAAGAAGATCTTGATTTTCTCCCTGAAGGCCACAAAAGACTAGTCTTGAACATGATTGCTCGGCTAACAACACCTGAGAGAGTAAAAAGCGGCTTGAAGCGTCAAACAACGTCAACACAGCAGTTACAAAGCCCTGAATCAAATTTGAAATCTCCCGCACGAACAAAGGTCTCCAAGTCGGGTTCAAACGATGATGCGGACGAGTATCGAGTACCAAAAACGAGCGACGTTTCTCTTTCGACAAGCAGGCGTCAGTTACTTAGCCCATGTGGAAGGTTGATTGAGGAAAAGAGGCAAGAATTAAAATTTAAACTTGAGAAAGCAAGCGCTAAAAGAAAGGAACTTGAAAAATCCTCTGCCAAAATAAGGGACGCAGCTTCCGTGCTTGGAAATACCGGTCAACGCTATGTAATTGTCATGTAAGAAATTACACAGTTCGCACCTGCCGAAAGGGAAAATCTGAGTCAGTGTTTTTCGGTGGAGAGTTAAGTAGGCATCCAGATGAAAAACATTTTTGACCGCTTTGCCTACCCACCGAGATGGCGTCGAAAGCCGTGATGTGTAGTCTATTTAAGCTCTCAAATCTCACAGATATTTCCATCGCGACCCATCGCAAAGCCCAGCAAGTTCACCGAAGGAGAGTATTAATTTAGATCGCAAATCTCACAGATATTTTTTAACAATGAATTTACCGAAAGAGGAAAATAGCCGTGAATTTGCTTCAGAAGTTCCCATCGCCTTCAAATTTCACCTACAACACAGGCAGACCACTCTATGTGTTCGTGGTTAATAAATATGAAACGAAGAGGGTTATGAATAAAGCTCTGAAAATTGCATATCTAAATTACGTCTCGGTCTGAGTATCTCAATAAAGTTAAATGAAACGTTAATCGAAGCGTCTTTTTACGAAATTACTTTTGGCCGGAGATCGTTAATACAAGACGCTTCAGACGGACCAGGAGGACGAAAAAACACCACACGAGTCGATTAACGTTTCACTTAACTTTACTGGGATATTCAGACCGAGATGCAATTTAGATATGCAATTTTCAGAGCTTTATTCAGAACTCTCATAGATTCTCTTCGTTTCATATTTATTAACCACGAACACATAGAGTGGTCTGCCTGTGCCTACAGTTCATGTTTGATATAGATGGCAAACGAATATTTCTCAATCACGGCCCGTCAATAATGTAGGGTGCGTGACATGTTATGTTGAGCGTGTGACTATGAGCTCACGTACCGCAATGTATGCTGGGATTTGGTTTTGCTGAGTGAAAACATGTGCTCGGAGATTATACCAAAAGTACGGAGTTTGTGCTTTAATAAAACGTTGCGTTCGTCTGAGTTGAGCGTGTAACATTGGCGACCCTGCCAGGACTGGACCAAAGAAGCTTTTCATCGACGAAGAGCCGCTGGGAATTGCAAAGGACAAGTGGTTTTGGCACGTTTGGTTGATTTGTCGAGAGTGAGTTGGTTGTGGTCGAGTCGACTGCGGACTAATTGCGACGGGAAACGTCACATTTCTATTGTGGACGGCTGATCGTACTATTGGTGAGTACGAAAGGTTTATTTGTTTGCAGTATGGCGGATACCGAGAGTCTGCAGATCGAAATTCAGGCCGCGTTGTGTACCTTGAGCGAGGAAAGGCTTAAAGAAGTTTGTAGTGGGCTGAAAATTATTTTGCCGCCTGAGAGCAAGGTAAGGTTGGTCTTTATCCGAGCCCTAAATAAATATTTCGAAACGGAGGAACTAGATTATGAAAAGTTAAAAGGGTTATCGTCATCACTAAGCATGCAGGGACAAGAGACTGCACCGAAAGAGCAAACGGAACCACTGGAGGCCCCTGATAACAATAAGGCGAGCGTCAAAGCAGAACAGAAACCCGCAGTATCAATCTCAAAATTCAAACGTGACTTCAAGATTTCGGGCCAGACTGGCGACGTGTCGCGGAAGGATCGGTTGAGTTTTTCCTCGCTAGTACATCAAATTGAAAATGGTTTAAAGAATGATTATACAGAGGATGAAATAAAAGAAGCTGTAATAAAAGCAATAAATCCGGCGTTAAGCCTAAGAAGTTATTTGGAGGGTAAGGCGGATTTAACCTGGCCAAATTGAGGAATTATGCGTTCTCATTATCAGGAGAGAACGGCAACCGAACTATACCATCAGTTGAGCTCAACTGTCCAGCAGCCAAAGGAAAAACCTCAAGAGTTCTTGATCCGTCTTCTCGATTTGAAACAAAAGATCTTGTTTGCATCCCAAGAAACTGATTCGGAACTGAAATATGATCCTACTTTAGTACATGGCATGTATGTCCATAGCTTTTCCCTTGGCCTGCAAAATGAGAATATCAAGATCGAAATGAAGCCTTACCTGGAGAAGAAAACCATGAGCGATGAAGAGCTATTCGAGAAACTAAATGTGTGTGTCAGTAACGAGATGGAGCGATCACAGAAATTTGGTTCACAGCTAGCACCCAAGGTGAATGCTGCTCAAGAAGGAGGGGACAAGCAGGCAAAAAAGAATACTGAGGTGGAGCAAGCCCTTATGAAAGAACTAAGGGAGCTTAAGGCAGAAGTAGCTGCAGTCAAAGAGAGAGTTCGGGCCACGCCCCAAGCTCAAAATCCCCCCACACAACAGCCTATGAGACAACCTCCACAGTGTAGGACCTGCCAACAAAGCGGGAATGGATGGCTTTGCAACCATTGCTTCAGGTGTGGGGCTAGTGGAAATTATGTGCGCGAGTGTACTGCCCAGTTTAGCCGACGCTCTCCTGCAGAATTTCAGGGAAACGGTCGGAGGTCACGCCCATGGGACAGGGTGTGACCGGGCCGGAAAATCAGTCCCGTTGCGTTCAGTGTGGAAAACAAGGAACAGACCATGTACCGCTTAACCGCTGCGGAGCTTGTAAGACCAGTAGATATTGTTCAAAGGGATGTCAACTAAAACACAGAACTGTGCACAAACCAGTTTGCATGGCTATATAGGAACTTGAGAAGCGGAAAATAGCTAAAGATGCTGATGATGATTTGAACACGACGTTCCCCTGCCACTTAACACCAAGACAGCAGGCCGGGCTGACAAAACTGGTAGGGCGGAGGTGCGTGGTAAAATGCCTAATTCAGGGAAAGGAAGTGGAGGCATTATGGGATACAGGCTCCCAGGTCTGTGTTGTGTCAAGGAAGTGGCAACAAACTCACTTGCCGCTGGAGGTGTTAAGGAATGTTGAAGAGTTGTTGGGGGCTGGAGGAGAGTTAAATCTGGAAGCAATGAATGGGACAGACATTCCATTTGATGGTTGGATAGAGGTCAGGTTTAAGTTGGCTGGAGATGACACAACCGCTGATGAACTGACAGTTCCAGTTCTGGTTGGACAAAAGGAACAAGAGTACCCGATCATTGGCTTCAATGTTATAGAAGAAGTTCTCAGTCAACACAGCGAAAATCCCCAAGCTGCATGTAACATCATTCAGCAGTCATTCCCTTTAGTTCACCACACTCAAGTAGGTGCTCTGGTAAATCTCATCCAGTCAAGATCACAGGATACAGGTACTACAACTGCCAAAGTCCGAAAGAGAGATGTGATGCTGCCAAAAGGAGAGGCAACAAGAGTTAAGTGTCAAATTCACTTTGGGCCTGTTCCAGAGGGAATGCCAGTGATATTTGAGCCCAAAGAACACAGCGAGCTCCCAGATGGACTGGAATTAAGTGAGGAACTCACTAAAATCACCCCAGGAACATCTAGTCACGTGACCATCCTGGTCCGCAACAATACAGACAGAAACATTGTGATAAAGCGCAGAACAGAACTGGGCCGAGTACACATGGTTAAGTCAGTGTTGCCGATTCCAAATCCTCCGGACCAGAAGTACACTCAA